TTGAGGTAGCTGCATCTGTGCCATGAAAATGTGTACGTTACACATGGCTCAGTTGGGTATTTCTCTTGAAAAGGGGTCGGTACCAATTGTGCATCTTACTAGAAACACGTTACATTTACACACCTTTCAAGCTTGGAGGACGTCCCAAAGTGCTGGACAGCCAAGAATGTGCACCCGAGCTGGGTTTTGGGAGAGATGGAGGGCAGGGAAGGTGGGGGTAATAGGGTGGCATGGAGGGTGAAGGAAAGGGAGGAGGGTGGGGGTAGGAGTGTGGCGGGGAGAATGGAGGAAAGAGAGGAGGGTGGGGGACCCCTGCCGGCCCACGGTTTGGGGTGTGGTTGTGTATTCCTCGGAGTAAAACTACAAGAGAGGATCTGGCCTTAAAATGTACCACTGCTTCCAAATGGGCTCAGAGAAAGAGTGGAGTAAGCATACTCAGACTGGGAATGTATTCAGGTGGGGTTAGTACTGAACAGTTAAGGGGCTTGAGGGGAGGAGACACACATTTAAATGACAGGAGGGCAAAACATCGATGTTAACAATCAGTGCAATTGGAAATGTCGGTATGAACATGGAAGAGATGCAGAGGAACCTTTGCTTTTGGGGACAGTTGGTAAACAAAAGTGAAAGCAGTTCATCACTGTTTGTGCGACGCTGCTGTGCACAATTGGTTGCCGCGATTTGCCCACAAAATACAGTCACTACACTTCACATTATATTCTGTGAAGCGCTTTGAGGCGTCTTAACGACGTGCTGAGGCACTGCATTAATTGCAAGGATTATTATTATTATTATAGCTGCTTTGAAGGCAAACATAGTTTTCTGTGCAATTAAGCATTCTTCCTTTTTGTCAGTCAGTAAATCTGCCAGGGCAACAGGCATTGTGAACCCACCCACACCACAGGACCACTCTTACTCATTGCTAATTGTCCAGCAGCAGGAGGTTAATTAAGGGAGGAAATTCAAAGCAAAAGTTACAATGGGGGGGAAAGTGAAACAATAAAAAGTTCAAGTTAAACTTTACAATGGGTCCCTTACGGTGCTCAATATAAACTAGATTTACTTCTACATGAAACTGGAGTTTTATGTTAATTTTGCTAGCCTTCCATATAATTAATCTGACCTACTTGACGGAAAGATTAATTATGGAAAGAATTGAATTTCTAATGACTCTTCCTAAGAATCACTGTATTCACAGTCTTGTTCTAATGAAGCAGATTGATTGGCTTCTGCTTTGATGAGTAGACCCGCCAGCACATGAACCTGTTTTTGAATTGGATCATGCACAGACTAATGAATCAGATACACTAATCAGCTAAAACCGTACTTTTCTGACCCATGTGATCCCAGTAAATGACTTCTCTGAATGGCTGCTGTACCATTAGTTTAATTAAAAGGGGGAAAAGAAAAGCATCTGTGAAGACAAGATTAGATTAATACTAATGCTCTCTTTGAGTACTTTTTGAGAAGTTTTTATTTGATCTTTGCTGAATTGCGCGTCGCCCGCTTCTGAAAAAGCTTTCTGTATACAAAGATAAATTCTCTTTGAATTAGATGAAAGTCTTTTTATTTCTTGCCCCTTAGATTTTATTCTTTGATTGATTCTGGAGAAGAGAGAATATCTGCAAATTGCCCCTCAAATGGATCGAGTTTTGTTTAGGTTGCAGTTGTTTGCATCATTCTTTTGGAAGAATATAGGCAACACTGCTATAATAATGATGTTTGAATTTGACATAGCGCCTTACGCCTTATCACGTTATTCAGACGTCTCAAAGCGCTTCACAGCATATATTGTAAAGTGGAGTGACTGATATTTTGTGGGAAAAACGCAATAGATTGTTCTCTTCCGTCTAAGAATCAAAATGAAAGATAAAATGGTGCCTTTTTTTTCTCCCCATTCAATATCGCAAGAGAATTATTCTAATAATTCTCAAAAACAACCATTCTCAAACCTTAATAGCAACAGTGTGCATGATCAGCTAAGGACTGTGTATTTTCGCCCACGGAATACACTCCACTTTACAATTTATTCTGTGAAGCGCTTTGAGACACCTCAATGACGTGATAAGGTGCTGTATCAAATGCAAGTTATCAGTAGGTGGCATCCTGATCTGCTGTGACTTATAGTTAGGTGATCGTTCCTTTAAGCACAAAGCAGAAAAACTGACCAGCGCAGTGACTGACCCATGTTTCGTGTTGAGATTCAGTGAGCGTGACTTCATTCAGCGTAGAATTTCCTGCCGTCTTTGTTGACGGGAGAGAGACTTCAGGAAGAAGTGGAGACACCAGAGAGTGACCGAAAATGGAGGGAAGGATGTGTGTTAGGGAGAAGGTTAATGTAAAGGATAAGAAAGGTCTCTCAGGAAATTTCCAGACAGTAATTCGAGTGGTTCTGTTCACATCGTAAATCGCAAGCGGGAAGGAGGTGAAGGGGAGCTTGAACTGGTTTATAAACATCAGCAGAATTAAATAACTAATGTGCTGATTGACAAGGTTCAGACTTCCTCCGGAGACCAGACTTCTTCCTGCTCTTTAAACAAAGCCAAAACATCTTGCTTTCCTCCTCACCCGCTTGCAGCGGGAATAATTGAAGACATTATTTAGTTTTTTAAGCATTGAAATTTACCTTTGAGAAGATACTTTACTATAACATGTACTAAGTTGTCCGTGAAGATATTTTAAGAAAGGGCCATATTAATACATTCCTGCTGCAACCATAGAATTATTTTAATGCCAAGCTATTTCCCCTCATTCTTGTCTCTTGTATTGAATTTCTGACCAGGCACTCAGCCTAAACTTACAATCCTCCCCCATACCCACTGTAAATGGCTCCCATTATTCCTTTTTTTGCCCTAACTCTGCATGTTGAATAATTCAGCCCCAACACATCCAGCATCTGTTACTCACTATATCTCAGTCGTTAAAATTCCTTTTTGGCTCAAAGATTGAGGAATTCTAAACCGTCTGAGCACAAATCTTACATAAGAACATAAGAACATGAGCGTCTGCTAGGCGGAATTAGACCAAGCTCCATCTAGTTTGCCTTCCACCATCCTGGCAGTCGCTTGACATGTTGTGTCCCACATTGCAATTTATTCTTTTTTTTCATCGGCAATCTTGATCCAGGGATATGTTTATAAGAATATAATAATAATCCTGGGATTTTATACAGCGCTTATCGCTTCGTTGAGGCTTCTCAAAGCGCTCTGCAGAATATACTGTCAGTTTAAAATTCAGCAATGTTTTGCACGTTTTTGGCCGCTGAGGAGAGCGTGAATCCTGGCAGGCAGATTTCTCCCCCCAAAACCTTACAACAAAAACAACAACTTGCATTCATATAGCGCCTTTCGTGCAAGGCGGCGTCTCGGAGCATTTAACGGTGGCAGAGCCTTGAAAAGGCATGAAACAGGGATGAAGTTAAAATGTTACAAGATTTAATTGTCCACTGTAAGCTTGCAAGAAAGAAGTGATGATAACTTTATTTTAGTTCTAATGCTCTTATCCCGGATATACAGTATATATATTTTATCTGATGTGAAGTGCTGAGGATCCGAGGTAAACAACGTCTGTAGTTTTGCTTCCATAATTACGCTGCCATACAGTGTGAGCACAGCTCTATCCTGTACGCCTGAGAGCTTATCTGTCCTTGGGACTGCTCTGGGAAACTATTTCTGTTTCTATAAAATGTTGTGATTTAATTCTTGATAAAACTCATTCTCCTTCATTGCTGTGCAGTGAACTGAAACCCTGGTATTGAATGAACTGAAATTGTTGAATTATGTCAGCTTTTCGGAGCTATAGAGATGTCTATTTGTATCAGAGATCTATTGCTGGTTGAAAAAGAAAATTACTGGGAGTCAGTCAATTATAGGTTGCGATCAGGAGTTCCATCATTCTTTTAGGATTGGTGTTAAAATGTGATCATTATTTCTATTTTTTTTCATACTGCAATGATGTCTGATATCCTGTAATGTAATTGAGCTGTCAGCTTTAACCGGGCTCTCCCAATATATATGTGGTTTGCCAAACACTGCTTCTCTTTGATGTCGCGAACAGATTGCATAAATTTCATCGAGAGAGGGAAAAAGTTGACAGTATCATAGCAGTTTGACAGTCTGTGTTCTGTTAAGTGGAAAATTCACAAAGATAAGCAATGAGTTATTAAAAAAGCACACGCACACAGGTTATAAGATTCGACATTGCTCAGATAGTTTCCAGAGCGTTGCTTGTTGATGTGTATGTAGTTCATATCCATACCCTTAGATCAGAAATTGATCTCAGATTGAATCTAGACAGAAATCAGATTTGTAGCCTTTACTTATTTGAGCCGTGATCATTCAAAAGCCGAAACACACTGCGTATTCTTTGTAAAGCGCATTTGGGCTGCGCCACACCGTGTGTTCATAAGTAAGTTGTTCGTCAACTGGCGGATTCGCTTTACGGGGGTAATAATCCCTCTTTAAAAAAAAGATTATAAATTGATCACTCAATCCACGACTGTTTGTGGGGGCGCTGCTGTACGCAATTGGCTGCCGTGTTTCACCAAGAAAATACAGTCATTTCACTTTGCAGTGTATTCTGTGAAGCGCTTTGAGACGTCTCAACGATGTGATAAGGCTCTATATCAAATGCAGGAATTATTATTATTCTCTTCCACCCCCTCCCCCTGAAACAGACATTCAGAATAGAAACTGACATTTACCTGCCTTCTCAATTCATTTCCCCTTGGCCAGACTTTCAGCTACTTTATTTTTCTGTCAACCATGATTGGATTTTTGTGCCTCGAAGCTTATGGCAGCCCTGAATTCCTAATCCCAACTCTTGTTGTCTCTCCCTGGATCAATCTGTGTTCCATCCAACGGGAAACACAGTTAACATATCTTTGGTGTGTGTGTGCGTGCGTGGGGCCAAGTTGGGCTTATTACACATGATTGTTTTGTGGAGTATTGTTTACTGAATTTAAAATTAAATTAAAGTTCTCCTGTTTTTTTTGTAAACAGCTAAGAAGGAACAAGAAGGAGCAGACGAGAAAACAGTTCTGAAGAAGAAGGCGAAAGAAGTAAAAGTGCTGGATGGAAAAACCGCACAGAATCTTTGTAAGAGAAAACACTCAGATATTTTTCAGGATACAGCAGCGCAGCAAAGTCAATCCACTGTTTGACATAATAATCCTGGGCACTGATACAGAGCCTGTAATGTTGAAACGTCTCGAAGAGCTTCACAGATCATTGCTGTCAACAACAACGGCTTGCACTTATATAGCGCCCTCTATGCAGGGCAGCGTCTCAGAGCGTTCAACAGTGGCGAAGCCTGACTCCGAGCCAAGGGGTGGGTGTGGGGGGGGATGGGGCAGAGGAAGGAAGGTTTTCAGACAGGACTTGAAAAGGGCAGAGAGGGTTAAGGCAGAGGGATTGAGGGAGTGTGTGCTAGCGTTTCGGGAAGCAGTGGCTGAAAGCGTAACCTCCCATGGTAGAGCAGAGGGTGCGAGGGACAAGCAGGAGCCCGGTGCCAGTCGAGCGGAGGCACCAGATGGTAGATTGGCGGAGTGAGGAGGTCGGAGATGCCAGGGAGTGAATGGATTTGAACATGAGTGTGAGGTACTTGCGGTCAAATTCAGTGATTGTATAGCTGGAGGCCAAAAGGGCAGCCAATATCCACACAAGGTACCACACAGCCGTGAATTCAGAGGCCCATTCACCTTGAGCATCGTTGGCCAAAACACCAGGAGAACAATTAAAGAATAACCTTCAACATCCCCCGCTTTTAGCGGATCTTAGTTTCGCCTTTGAACTGAGGGACGGCATCTGTGACAATGCGGCCTTACCCCAGGACTACGTTATAGTGCCAGACAGTTCTCTAGTCTCATATCCTAACATGAGATTTGTTCCCACAACCTTCTGATCCAGAGGTAACCGAGCCAAGCTGAGGTGACGTACTACGATTCCTGTACATTTAGGAAAGAGAAACGAGGCGAATGGCCAGGGAATGTCAGCCGGGGCACAAATATGAAAGTAATTTGTTATTCGCTCGCTTATACCCTGTCTTGTTTTGATCCAGCTATCTTCCTGGGTTCTTTTCGAATGCCCTACAAGAGTATCAAAAACATGATCCTTGAGGTGGATGAGAAAACTCTAACGGAGTCCATTGTTCAGGCAAGTTACTGGGATTCATCTAATACCTCATGTCGCGAGCATTGACAAGTAGGCACTTGGTGTTGAAAGTATTTTTCTCTCCCTGCCCCCCCCCCAACAATAGAGATCGGGCTCATTTTAATGATCTTTGAATGACTTATCAGTTAAAGCAATATAACATTGAATTGGTGCAGTCTAACCATGAATCCGCCGTCTTCTTTCTAGAACCTCCTGAAGCAACTTCCCGAACAGGATCAGCTGAGCGCTTTAGCGGAGTTGAAGGACGAATACGATGACCTCTCGGAATCGGAGCAGTTCGGAGTGGTGGTAGGTGAAAGATTTCACTCACTCAGATGTTTGGAATGCACTGATCCAGATGGCAGTATAAGGAAAAATTAAACCAGGATGTTTAAAAGGAAGCGAGAGAGAGGTACATCCTTGGGAAGAAGGAGGTGAAGGATGTGGAAAAAAGAAAGGGAAATGGTATTAAAATCTGTCTGAATGTCGTAAGCGGCTGGGTGGGTGACCTATTCCTGCTCGGCCAGTAGCTCACAAATTGGCTGTTCAACAACAACAACAACTTGCATTTACACAGCACCTCTCACGCAGGGTAGAATCAGAGCGCTTGACAATGGCAGAAGGAGGAGGTGGGGGTAGGTGACCGTAAGCACGATCTGAAGATGGGGAAGGAGGGGGCAAGGCGGAGGGATAGAGGGGAGAGTTTTGGAGCGATGGTGGATCGGAAGGCACGGGCAACAAACAGGAGACTGGGGAGCCTGTCGAGCAGAGGTGACGCACTGGGTTGGGGAACAAGTAGGTCAGAGACTTAGGGAGATGCCAGGGCGTGAAGGCATTTGAAGGCGAGTGTGAGGATCTTGAAATGAATATGTTCGGTGATCGGGAGGGAGCCAGTGGAGTCTGGCAGGGGAAATAAACAACGACAACAAATCGCCTTTCGCGTCGGGAGGACATCCCTAGAACTGAGGACGGGTTTATTGAACAGGTTAAATAAAGGTACGAAACGAACAGCAGTGTTCACGGGTAAGCAGTGAAGCGCTGGGGTCCGTGTTGTCACAGAGACGTGTTGCGGGTGGTGACTGCATTTGCTTCACAATGTCACAGAAGGGTGACATTTGCTGATCGTGCTGAAGGAGAACTGGTTGCCACCTCCCCTTCTGCGGCAGCTTGCAGGGCATCCAGCAGAAATGGATAAGAGCAGAGCGATCGATCGCTGACGTCCCTTGTGAATCACGGAGACACTGGGAACTGAGCGTGCAATTAATTAACTCTATTGCCTTACCTTTTAAATCAAGTCACCGGGAAAAGCATAAAGACTATTTAATAGTCTTGCATGCACTTATGGCAGAAAACTCCTGGTAGACTGTGCGAATGAAGGAAGTCAGTGTTTTTGTTACTGCCCCTTAAGGTCCTGTGTAGCCAATGTATTGAACAAATATATTTTATTAGTTAAAAACTTTATTTTTCCCTATAAAAAAAAATTGGTTTATTTCAAGTCACTACCAGCTTTGTACTTCAGTCGTGCTGATAGTCCTGGCTGCCTGTTCCTTTCAACATTTGAGTTCTTTTAAGTTCCTCATTACTTGCCTTTCACTACTTGGGTCCTCATGGGAGAAGGAGAAAGACTGAGCTAGATATTGCTGCATGTCGTGAACATTACTTGTTGATGGGTGAGTAGGGTAGGGTGTGGGGGTTGGGTGGGCATGGCCCTGATCTGCTTCTCCCTCTGTCAGAAGAAATTCACCACCTTCACAGAATGTTAACCGGCTGACTTTGAGAACATCGAGTGTTAACCCAATGAGGGTAGATGAATGTGATGCATGATCCTTTTGCTGAGAGTACAACAACAACTTGCACTTACACAGCGCCCCTCATGCAGGATAGTACCCTAGAGCATTTGACTGTGGAGTAGCCTGATGCCGAGCCAGGGGGAGGGAGAGGTCGTAGGAACGGTCAAAGGGGAAGGTCTTCAGGTGTGACCTGAAGATGGGGGAAGGATGGGTTAAGGCGGAGAGATAGAGGGAGAGAGTTCCAGAGTTTCAGTTACTGACATTTCTCTCTGATACTGCTTTCGGGTATTGTCACTCCTTTTTTTTGTGCCAAATGGGTTTTGCGATACATTTTCCTCTACTGTGATTTCTGATAAAAAACGTCTACTGTGTGGAAACGTGGTAGAATTCCATTCATCCAAACTAGCTCCAAAAATGTCAAACATATTCATTCAAATAAGTAAGGATTGAGGTTTCTGTTTAAATCAAAGGATTATTCTGAGGATCATTTTAAAATTCAAAAGAACAAAAGTGTTTCTCGAGCGTACGTTTCTTGATCAACTCTTTTACTGCTCGCATCTCATGTAAATGATTTCTCCATCTTTCTGACCGTGTCTGTCTGATCTCCTGATCTGAGCTGACATTGATTTTTCCTGTGTTTGATGCACCAATGTAATACAAGGTGACATATTGGCTCTGAAGCTCATAGTCCTTGTTCTTCTGACTGCAAGGCCTCATCTGGTCATTTATTCTCAATAAGTTGGACAGCAGATAGAACAGAATCCATTGCAACAGGTCTATGGCTCAAACCTCAGAGCTATGTGTCCTTTGAATCCACTCACTACTGTTAAGCTGTTTTATTTTGATAGCCGGGTGTCTGACAAGTGAGTGAGTGTGTGAGTGAGACAAACCCGAGGGAGTGACACATGAGGGATGATCTGGATTCTGCTCTGGTGAAAGAGCAAAAGAGAGAGCAAGGTTCCCCTTCAGGTCTCCACTCCATTATCTCTTCTCGTCTTGTCCAACGACAGACAAACCTGATAAGGTTATCGATTGATGGGGTTGTGCTCCACCACTGTCAAGGGCTCTGGGACGTTACCCTGCATGAAGGGACGCTGTGTGAATGCAAGTTGTGGTAGTTGTTGTTGCTGCTTCATCCAGACACAGAGAGATGTGTTCTTGTTACAATTGCTCCTTGTTCTCCTTTCTTGTCTCCCGCTTGCAGATGAGTTCTGTCACCCGCCTGAGGCCTCGGCTACAGGCGATCCTGTTCATGCTGCAGTTTGAAGAGCAGGTCAGTAACCTGAAGCCGGACATCGTGTCTGTGAAGGCAGCCTGTGAGGAGGTGCGGAGCAGTGATAAGTTTGCCAAGTTGATGGAACTGATCCTGTTGGTGGGAAACTTCATGAACGCTGGATCCAGGAATGCTGGCGCGTTTGGTTTCAGCATCAGCTTCCTCTGCAAGGTAAGTGTTACACTCACAACCCTTAACCGTGATTCATTGTTTCCTAAAGCAGCTGCGTATGGTGTGGCCCAGTGCCAAATAGGCTCTCAATATCATGGCAAACGGCCGAGGTGACAGCTAACTCCTGGGAAGCAAAGGGAAAGCAAAATAAAAATGTTTACTTTTCGTTCGATTCCCCATGAACTCAACCATTTGGGAAATCTTCCGAAATAAAAACACATGCTGTGGTGGTGAGGATAAATGTAGGCCACGGACATTGTATTTTGGCAGGCCTGACTGAAGTTTACGATTCCCGCAGTTCATGGTGAGACAGGCTGACGTCATGACCAGGCTAATCTGAAGGGCACGTCAACCTTAGCTTTGAAACTTCAATGTTCCGTTTTTACTCTGTCCCGAGTTCAGGAATATCAGCGCACATCATTTTTCCAAACAATTATTAATAATAATCCTCGCATTTATACAGCGCCTTAGCAGGTCGTCGAGACATCTCAAAGCGCTTCACAGACTATACTGTAAAGTGAATTGACTTTATTTTGTGGGTGAAAATTGCGAAGATGTACTGAATTGTGACTTTCATGTCACAAAGTAAGCAGCTTTGGGCTAGATTTCTCCCTTGTGGTCTGTCTCCAGCTGTCCCAATTCTTTTTGTTACCAGCTTTTGGCAGGTTCCCAATATTCCCTACTTGATATTGTTCCTCTGCTTTTAATAGACCAGGAAACAGAGGAAGTTCTTCTGTCACTAAAAGCTTAAGTGCCCGATATCTATGGTCAAATACTTGCGATTACAGAATTTGGGATTTTGCTATTAAGCAAGAAATTTGCCAACGTTTCTCATCTGATCCCATTCTACAGAATATACTGTAAATTGAATTGACTGTGTATTTTGTGGGCAAAACCCAGCAGCCAATTACGCAGACAGAAATTGCTCGAGACAGAAAGATAGGTTAACGTCACAGCAATGTCCTCTGTCCAGAATGTACAGGAGTGGAAAGGAATAGACTTTGGCTCCGTAAAATATGAAGAAGCTGGAAATCTTCACAATATAATGTATAATGTCAGAATGTTTTGAAGAGGAGTCTTATGAGCAGGATCATTGCAACTTCCCATTCTCCCGTTTAAGGCTGAGTACCTTTGCCATCATTTGTGGATCCCTTCCTTTATATACATTTTGCCTTTTTTAATTTGCTTCCCCTCAGCAGCTTCTGTGTGAGTGGCGTTCTGTTAATAACGTTTTCCAGTGAGGGCAAAGGTTTGACTCCAAAGCAATGAGTGGAAAGCGTTATTCAATCGACTTTGCTGCACCCTGTCTTTTTTAATGAAGTATGTTCACGTCCCAGCGAGATGCAACTTCAACTCGATATTGTGAAACGTGAATTAAATGGCGATAAAGGTTTGTTCTTTTTAAAAAAATCCCGTGTTTCAGTTGCGAAGCTAAGGACAGTTTCTAAGAGTTTCCTTAGTTCATTTGACTCTTAATAGATTAGTTCAGGACACAGCCTTACAAACCGAGTTCGAAATTAGACTCTTATGTTAGCTTTGCGCTAACTTAGGTGATCTCAACTGTGGTCTGGGTGTGTGGAGCGAGGAGAGTACTTGAGGTTGCTTCAGTGCTTCCCAAACTAACAAGACTTGTATGCTATATTATTTTGCAACGATTCAGGACACGTTTGGTGCAATTTCAGTTTGGACATGGTTTAAATCATGATATTTATACAACGGGATGGGTTAGAAATGAAGACCAATGCTTGCGGAGTTGTTTGTTGACGCTTGTATTTGCTGTCCGAGCAGAGGTACATCTGAAACCTTTCACATTACACACATCTCTCAAAATTGATTCCCGACAGCCCACTTCAATATTATTTGCAGGTCTCACCGATAAAATGCCATTCGAATGGAAGACTGGAATTACTTTTCCTGCAGAAATATTTATTAACACAGCTTTAACCTTTCCAACTAGTCTCATTATCTCTCGGCACAGTAGATCAAGACGTTGAGGTTTACTCTGGTGTTGTAGAAAGTGAAAGATCTTTTGGGGAACAGCATCAAATAAACCGAGTTAAATTTTTCATGAGGGTTAATTTCAAATTAGCCGCGTGTATCCTTGTTTAACTTTAGTATTTAATTTAAAAAGTTCTGGTTTTAATGATGAAGATTCTACTAAGTTTGCACAAAATTACTTTTTTAAAAAAAGTTATTCATTCTTAACTTACTTTGTTCTTTGTTTGCCTAAAGACGTTCTCCCCTGATATAATAATAATAACAATCCTTGCATTTGATATCGCGCCTTATCACGTCGTTGAGATGTCTCAAAGCGCTTCACAGAATATGCTGTGAAGTGATTGCCTGTGTATTTTGTGGGCAAAACGCGGCAGCCAGTTGCACCCAGCAGTGTCCCACAAACAGTCGTATATATATCTATTCTAAAATAACTTTCCACTCCTATCCTCCGGTGCTAAGTAAAAACTCTAAAGTGATGTATGTCTTCCCACACATGATTGCATCTTTTTGAGACTGAAGCTCACCATTTTTATTTGGGTCTATTTTTGTTTCAAAGGGCAATAAGAAAGATCCAAGCATTTTTATAGCACCCTTTCATGTCAAATCCCTCAAAAGCAATTAGCAAGTAATTACTTCAAGATTAGTCAATTTTCACCTATAAGGTTCTAAAATCTAACTGCTTCAGAAAATTAGCTTAGTTTCTGCTGCCATACTCAGAAACTCTGCAAAACACTGAATGCTAAAACTCATGAAAGAAAAGGATGTGATGATAGGAACTTGGAAACGAGGCACAGACGTGAAATAAAACAAAGTTAAAAGACGATGGGTTTGCAACATTTTATCACATGAATTATTTATTACATCAGGACAGTTCTTAGCTGTCAACACTTGCCTTAATGGCAGGCATCCTTCCATGTTACTATCCTTTACACCCTCTCGCTTCAAAAATATCAATCACCCACTTTCTTCCCCCCCCCAGATCAGCCATGATCTTATAGAATAGCCGAACAGTCTCAAGGGACTGAATGGCCTATTCCAGTTCCTGTGTTCCCATCAACTCCTGCGAATCAGACCTAAAACTGGAGAGCTATTGGTTAATTGTAACAGAAACTGTTCCCCTCTCAGCTCTAGGGAGCAAAGCCAAACAAATGGCCTCACTCCTGAAGCAGTTTCTCCCAGCGCTTGCCACAGCTATGTGGGGAAAAAAACAGCGATACTTATTCAATCCATTACAAGTACGTCACAACCAGAGAGCAGAATGGTTCTCTCAACCACATCTGCATGTCAACCTCTGAAAATGTAATAAAAGACAGATGCTGTAAGAATTGCTGCTTTAGTGGGATTTGACCGTAAAAGGTGATGCTGCATTTTATTCATCAATGAATATGTCCCACCACAGATTAGTAGAACAAAGGTTCTACATAAATTCATAATCTTACTATAGGTTTTCCAGAGGACAGATGGTAAACTAGAGAATGTTGACCCATGTACCACTTATTCGAATGGGGCACAGGCCAAGATGGAGAATAGGAGAGAATCACAACAGTTACCCAAATGTATTCCAGGCAACGCTGTTCATTAAGGTCCTGCAGTACAATCACATCAACTGGGAGTTGCATGGAAATTTCAGCAATTCTGAATTCTGGGCATTAATGTAGGAATACTTCCTGTAGTGTTCTAATATAGCATACAATGTCAATTGATTGAACAGGGCAATTATCAGTTGTCGGTTTGTTTTTAACATGCATTATGTTTGGGTTCTTGTGGCTTTCGGATTTCACTCTTCGACTGCGCCTTTGGTCACTCTCGTAACCCTACCCTCTCCACCCTCCACCTCTCCTGAGCCCAACTCCCTGCTCAGATCCAAATCCCTGACTGTCTAGCGCCTTGGGATGTCCTCTCGATGAAAGGCGCTGTGTGGATGTAATGTATTGTTGTTTGTTGCTGCACACTGAGCACTTTTTCTCTCTCCTTTTTTTCTTAATAGCTCAGAGACACAAAATCAGCTGATCAGAAGATGACACTGATGAACTTTTTAGGTGAAATCTGTGAAGAGCAATACCCCGACATCCTTGGCTTCACAGAGGAGCTGAACCATGTGGAAAAGGCGAGCCGAGGTGAGGGCGTGTGAGATGTACGTCTGTAAAGACAGTGACCTAGATAATGGGCAGCATATAGCATCATTCCCATCTCCCACCATTAATGCTTCCTGTAAAGTGCATCACCACTGATCAATACCGGGACTGCAGTTGTCTGTGTAGCTGACCTACTTAGCATTGAGAGCTTTTGCCTCCAGCATTCAATTCAATTTGTCTTGCGAGCGCATGCATCGCAGGCATGATTTCTGGCTTCTCTGATGGAAACCGCAATGAGTGATTGTATTAAAAATGAACAAATGGGTGAGATGCGTAAGGAGTTCACTGATGGAAGAGGTGGAGGAGATGCCTATCTGCAGATGTACACACCTACAGGGATTTGTGCAGGCTTCAATTATTAATCAGAGTAGGAAAGCTGCTGTTCACTTTAAAATAGACCTGCTGCGCAGTTTGGATTGTCGTCGCTAGAGCACACTGTGGTTCCATCAGAAGCCTTTACCTCCTCTGATAGCAGTGTACGCCTTAACCCTTTTGAGGCATCGATGCTTCTGCGAATTAAGATGTCGCCTGTGCCATTTTAGTTTAAAGCCGTAATCTTTCATTTGAGAAAAAAAATTACACAGCCCGACGAGAATTGTGTTGATACCCAAATTCTATCTGCTTATCACACAGCTGGAGAAAAAAAACGTAACTTATCTTCCAGTCTGCCTGGAAAAAATGCTTGAAATAGTTTTATTATCATTGAAATAAAAATGAACTGATAGTGAGCTGGATTATCAGCTGAGATCAGGGACGATTTGCCCAACATTTCACTCCATCCCACATGATGAAGGAGCTTAAGAACCACCTCTTGGTGCAGGCAGATTTGACTCATGTATTCAAGAATAATAATAATAATGCTTGCATTTGATATAGCGCCTTATCACGCCGTTGAAATGTCTCAAAGCGCTTTACAGAATATATTGTAAAGTGAATTGATTGTGTTTTGAGGGCAAAATTGCACACAACAGTGTCTCACAAATAGTTGTGGATTGAGTGACAAATGATTCTTTGAGGGATTATTACCCCCGGAAAGCGATCCACCAATCGACTGACATCTGAGTTCCTTACTGCTTGGATAAACAGAGGAGTGTGGAGTGAGGAAATTTACTATGGTTTTGCCCCGCCCAGGAATCGAACCCAGGTCTTGTCGCTTGCGAGGCGAGCGTGCTAAACACATTACTAGATACGGTGTTCATTTAGAAAGCTACAAGACAATTTTCAGTGTTCAGGTACAGCCATTGATGCTTTGATTGCTTTTACAGTTTCTGCAGAAACTCTTCAGAAGAACTTGGAGCAAATGGGGAAACAGATTTCCACACTGGAAAAGGATATCACGGACTTCCCAGAGCCCCAAGACGAGCACGACAAGTTTGTAGAGAAAATGACAATATCCTTTTATTGGTGCAATGAACGATAAATTTCATTACCTTGATATATTGATCAACGTAAGTGTCAGCTGACTCACTCTCTCTCTCTGCATCTTACATTCAGCAACAATAGAATTCACAAAATAGCTTGTCGATATGAAAGGAACTCAATCAATTTTTATTGATCAACTTTAATTATTTGTGCAGTATCCATGCCCGAGAGTTATGATTCCAGTTGGCTGGTTAAACATGTGAGATCAGCAGCATGTGGCACAGGCAAGGAATCTGAAACAGATCCTGAGAACCTGCTGTAGATTGGCTCAGAGATATCTTTCTGATGTCCAGCAGTGCTCGACAGCAACAGCTATAAATCTAAACTCAACAGAGTTTCAAAATCATCTCTTCCTTTGCCAATGTACAAGCTGTGTGGTTTTAGCTGGTCAGTCTCCAGCAGTTACCGCAACACACACTCTGGGGTCACCAAGCCTCGGGTCTTGCCAACCTGCGCCTAATACTTTCCGGAATTAGGTAAGCAGGATGGGTTCCTCCAGGGAAAGAGAGCGCATTCCATTCCAACAATCTATCTCTGGGAATTCTCAGCTTAGTTTGGATACTCTTAAGCACGGTGATGGGTTTCCGCGTATGTCAGCACCCAGCTGACCAAATAAATACTTTTGTGTTGATACGTTTTACTTACTCTCACTCATAAAATGACGAGAATGTACTCTGTTGTCCAGTTAGACTTGTCACTTATCATCTTTTACAACCCAGCCAACGAGAATAAATGTAAGTAGACTTCTGTGATTGACAAAGAGGCTATTGAGTGTTCTGCCCTCCTTGGCTATACCTCTGAAGCTAGCAATAAATGTTCTTCAGATCTACAGCAGTATCCTTCTAACACATGTTGTTACTGTGAGGCCCTTGCTGATTTTCACAGTTTTGAAGGCTCGCTCGCAAAAATCCACACTGTAGAAAATGGTAAAATAATCTGGGTTTTAGCACACACAGTGTTGTCTGGCTGTTGCTTCGGGAGCCTGGGTTAAAGTTCACCCCCTACTTCAACCTTGTCGTTTTCATGTGGCTTTCTTATCAACAGAAAACCGGGGTGTGACAAAAGGTGTTTATTTCCAACTCTCAGTCCTTGTACTGACAGCTGTTGTGTGTTTAACTTGTTCCTTGAGGATATTTCTGTGTAATATACAAAATCTAAGCCAAGGACCTCACAGTCTGACCTTTCTCTCACTACTCAGTCCTTCACAATTCAACAAAGTTGAGTGCCATTTCTATGAAAAAGGAAGAAGGAAAAGGGGGAATTAAGTTAACTTAACTTCAGAGAGATGCTAACTCACTGGTTTTCTTCACAGAACCTGGTGAGATCAGATGTGCTGGCGCATATGAGGAAAAGCAATCACTTTGCTGCTTATTTTCTCAGAAGTTTTAGCTTTAGTGCTGTGTTTGTTTGGGATATGATTGAAATCCGCACTTTCCTTTGCATTCTCTTCTAAGTCTTGCATAAGGACATTAAAATAAATGGAGGATAATATGATTTGCCATGATTTTTAATCCTCAAATTATTGGATGTTACAAGTGGCCCTCTCACTCAAGTCATCAACCAATCCTGGTAAGATGCAAGCACGTTTGAGAAAAAAATATAATTTTATTACCTTTGTATAATATATTTTTAAGAAGTTGAAGTTGATTTGAAAGAGCAATGGAGTTACGTATACATTGTAGGTTTGGCATCTCAGTGTATCATTGGGACTGTTTACTTTTAGTTTTATATTCATGCCATTCACTGTTGCTGAGTACAGACTTCCAACCCACATTGACCAGGTGTTCCATAGTAAGTTCTATATTGTTATGAAGCTAATTTTAGTAACAAGTTTCGTATTCTTTTAAGTGCAAATCGGAGTCTAATAGTTGGTCATTTAACTTTATGGCCACTTTATACTGGTCATTTTTATCCATTTCACAATTGCTTATTTCTTCAGAGAAGAACAAGATTCCTGACGCAGGAAGAAAAAAGCTAGGCTCTAATTTTGGCCTCTTTCCCAACAGTGGGAACAGGATGCAGCTGGAAACAAGGACAGGTTTTGACAAAGTGATCGCTGTTTGTTAGTTGCTGGGAGCGCAGAGAGACTTAGAAAAATTGTACTGGGGTTTCTAGACGAGAAGAGATTGTCCATGACTCAAGGCGTGTTCAGCGCATTATTGATTTACTTGTCAGATTTTTGAATCATCTGAGGGACAAAACTCATGGGCGATGTACAACAACTTTCATTTACACAGCGCCCATCACCCAGGGTAGGGTCTCAAGGCTCTCGACAGTGGCGGAGCACGGCACCGAGCCGGGGAAAGGGAAGAGTTGACGAGGAGAATTTTTAGGGAGAGGTCGAATGGATGGTAAAGATTGAGGTGTTTAAAGGAGGGGGGTGGTTCTGCATGACAAGAAAGCTAGTGTGTCAGACATAACTGTTGAATGACTTTGGATGATCACAGAGCCCACTAAGTGCGGTTGCAACATGTCTTGTCATAATCAGGAATGTCTCTCTGACTGAGACATTGAACACTTCTCTTTGGGTTCAGAGAGATGGAGCCTTATGAGGACTATTCCCTCGGTAGCTTCCTTTACGTTACTTTGGCCCGCGTTAAATCCAGCATCAGCGGGAGGTGGTGTTTTTTGCTTAAGATCTGCTAAGCAGCGACCAGCTATTGGGTGTCTGTTGAGTTCAGTCCAAGATTTTTCTTCCTCTGAGTGAAATGAAATTTAAATGCACTAAGCAACCAAGTTGGCTTTGTTCATCTGTGTTCATAACAGGCTCGAAACAACCAGAGTATTGTATAATACGCTGGCATTGACAAAGCTGTACATACAAAATAACAGTTTGGAATTGAATTTGATGGTTCTCCCTCGTTTCTAACAGTTAAAATAGAAGGTTTTAAAAGCGTCCATTTCATGTGGTTAAATTGAGAGAACCTGGGATGGATTTTCAGAGGAAATAATGTACAATCGAGAAAACCCCTTGAAACTTACTTATAATGCCGTGTTCAGTGCTTTTAAAAGCAGAACACTGAAAAAGGTCAGACTGCGAGGTGCATTTGTATTGGTACATAGGAACAGGAGGAGGCCATTCAGCCCCTCGAACCTGTTCCGCCATTCTACTAGATCATGGCTGATCTATACCTCAACTCCAATTACCCGCCTTTGCACCATATCCCTTGATATCCTGACCTAACAAACCTCTCTTCACCTCAGTCTTGAAAATTCCAATTGATTGGGGGAGGGAGGGAGAAAGTCACAGATTTCTGCTACGCTTTGTGTGAAAAGTGCGTACCATAACCTACATAATGTTCTGCTCTTGATGTGATAGATAAACACTTACCCGAAGGTACGATACTGATGTTCATTAAGATATAAGCTCTGTTAAAAAGATGAGAGACACTTTGGTGCTTGTAAATTGGCTGTATCATTTCAACGAGGCACCAGCATATATTCGATTAGAGTAAACAAGTGTGAATAAAGCTTTTAGCAGCCAGCACTTAGTGAGGATAGGAAGAAGCCAATAATAGAGATGTTCTGTTAATGAAGCAGTGAAAAATGTATCGCTATTAAGAGAAAAGTTTTGTTTGGATCAGGGAAGTAAATGTTTTAATGCATTTCCAAAAATGCTTCATATTTTTGTGCAACATTATTTCTTCGAAAGTTTATCAGTGTGTCATTAGCTGCATAAATTCACTTTATATTGGTTTCAATCATTTGTCCAGTACGTTTTCAGAGTTGGCTGAGCAGCAGCGTTGAGTATAAGATGCTGATATGAACTATAATAATCCTTGTATTTGATATAGCGCTCTCTCACATCTTCGAAGCATCTCAAAGCACTTCAGTCCTTCTTGTATATAGACCCTTCTTCTTCGCACGTATAAATACTAGACATTGGTGAGGCTCTGATTAAAATACTGAGTGGGGTTTGAGTGGCCCATTACAGAAAGCTACTTTTAAAAACGCGGTGGACGGGTATTTGAGGAGGACGGGTTTGCAGGGTTATGGGGAAAGGGCTGGGGAGTGGGACTGACATTAATTGCTCTATTCAAAGAGCCGGCACAAACTCGATGGGCCAAATGACCTCTTTTTCTGCTGTACAATTCTATGATTCTCTGATTTTTTGAAAAGACATTGACCGCCTTATTGATCTTTGCCGAGCATCGGGATTTTAATCAGCCATTTTAATCTGTCGAGCCAAGAACACAGTAAGGCATTTAAACCAAACACGCATTTTTGTTCCTCTTCACATTAGGACTGGCTCGCGTTACTGGAGGCACTTTTTTTCACAATTGCTCGTTCATTTTCACCTCCTGATTACTGTAAAGCAGCTCCGATCAATATTTTAATTGATTCGCTTTGGTGCTCTCCGTGACAGAGCCTGACAGAATATAAAGACTCAACACATTCTCCTGTTTATTTAGCTGTCTCCGGGACAGGAAGTGATGTACTGAGACCTGGCGCACAGTTCTAAGGAAGGAAGGTCTGGTTTGCGTGAAATGCAATTTTTCGATGACACAAGTATTAGGGGGTTTGAAGTCTTATACAAGGTTTAGAGTTTCACCTGCCGGATGTCTGCCTCAATGCTCGTGACTTTTGATGTTCTACAGACATTCAGTCGGTGTAATTTGAGCCAAATGAGGATTTTAGTTGTGTGTGTGTGTGTGATTTCTTGTAGCATCTAAAATGGCAAATTTTAATTTGGAAAATCAAATGGAAACATTTGAGCGGATTACCAGTAAATCAACTTTACTATATATTCTATAAACTTATAATAATAATCCTAACATTTGATACAGCGCCTTATCACGTTGAGAGGTCTCCAAAGCCCTTCATAGAATATACTGTAAAGTGTAGTGACTATGTATTTTGTGGGCAAAACGCAGCAGCCAGTTGTGTCCCATACACAGTCGTTGATTAGTATTGTTGCTTATTATTACTTATAAGTAATAACTACTTTTTAAATTACTTTGAAGTGTTTAAAGATTGAGGCAGCGAGCTGTTTATTTGGTTTTATAGTGTTTCCGAAACAGCAGTTTAGCATTGCTGATGATGCCAACAGATTACTTGCCTGTTTACCCTTTTCTCCATTTCATCAGCATTATTGCTTTTGTGCATGAATTTGCATGTTGTAACTCAATCCTCTCTGCAGTAATTGCACACCTTTAAATTATTAGTAATAAGATGAGAATTGTAGTCTTAATAATATATATATTAAAAAGGTGCTTGCCGTGAATTTTAAGAAATGCATATCAGCAGAAACTGACCCCAAATTGCAAAGTGTGAATATTTTATGAGTACATTTCAGTTCTTTATTAAATCGAGCTTGTTCAGAAATGTGCTGAAAGGTGGAAGCTGACCATAATATACAAAGGCAAATTGCGTTTGTACTCGCATTGTAGGAAATCTGCTAATATTTGAGTCTGTTGCATGAAAAGTGCTCAATAAATACAACTTGTTTGCTGTTTTTGGACTTGTTCTTTTGTCAGATTTACTGCAATATTGATGATGGTGAAATCTTTCCTTTCTCTGGGAGGTTAATTTCCAATGTTTCTGGTAATCAAAGGCTGTTGTGGGAAACTAATGAAATGTGGGGAAAAAAGGAACTCGAAGACTGAAGTCGAGACACAATTAGCAACATCCCGTGTATCTCATGTGATTTGCAATTTTACGCAAAAGGAGATTGTGTAAAATTAATTGAGGTCACAGATTCCGGAGAGCCTGAAGGGTAGAGTGTAACTTTCAATGAGTAGCTTCTGCAGACATGATGGTAGGGTTCAGAGCCAAGTATTGTCATTTGTAGGAGCATAATCAACTTCATTCCACTGCTCGTAACTTCCAAAGATGTGCTGAAACTCTCCATAAACCGGTTAATTTGAGATGATCGGGGGGGAGACTACACAGGGATGACCTTTCTGCTTCATTTAAATGTTTTGATGATGGATTAAATTGATGAACATGATTAGTTTGTGATACTTAAGTCATGGATAGTATGTGAAGTGTTGAGAAATGTGGTACAAAAGCCCATTCTTGCATTTTGGGTGCACACAGTATTTGACTGGTCTGCAGCAAATCTATACATGGAATCACATAAATGGCGTGTGGGGGAAATCAATATTTGGTATGACTTAGCAAAGTAGCGATCAAATAATGCCAACCTACTGTCAAAAATATATTTGCTGGAGTCACAGTCAGCTGATTTGACATTGTCATGTTTCCTCAAAGTTAAACTCGATGAAATATAACTGTTTGTGTTAATGGAATCACATCACTCCGGGTCATAAGAGTTGCATTTCCTGCACAAATTTGAAATTAAGGATTTGATTCTGGTAAATTAGCAGAAGCAGCTGTGACTAACTGACATGGGTTTGTCAGGCCTGTGTTGATTTTGTGTTTCGCCCACAAAATATACAGTCAATTCACTTTACAGTATATTCTGTCAAGCGCTTTGAGACGCCTCAAAGCTGTGATAAGGTGCTCTATGAAATGCAAGGTTTATTATTATGTGAAAGGCACTAAATAAATGCAAGCTGTGATTGGGGGCACTGTGTTTATAATGTATGTTGTAAGTTAGTCACAAGTTGTGCTAACAAAAAATGTGTTGTGTGTGTGCGTATCTGTGTGTGTCCACTATGTGATGATTGCTGCATTGCCCATTTTGACAGTGCTTTTTCCTTAACCAAAGCCTCCCACAGCTTCGTAAAAGTTGCAAGAGAACAGTTTGACAAGTTGTCAACAATGCATGAGAACATGGAAAAAGAGTTTGAAGACCTTGGGCAATACTTTATATTCAATCCCAAGAAAATAAGCATCGAGGAATTCTTTGGCGACCTGTGTAACTTCAAGAATATGTTTTTGGTAAGTGCTTTATGTGGAGGTAATGAAATATTTGTTCCCTTTTAAAGCCACGGGTTTGTCCATTCAAACCCTGGGTCTGGTTGGCACATGGTTACCATTGCATGCATTTATGGATTTATACTGTTGTAAAAGATCTGCAAAGGTTACTGGAGTTTAAGTCATTTTTAATATAAAACACAGCCAACTGAGGCTTTCCTGTTGGAGAGAAAGTGCTTAAAATGTCATTGTATTGTTTGAAGCACATTCAGTGATTGAGTTAAAGTGAAGGGGAGTGCAGTCTGTTGAGGAACAAGAACGTTTTGTTCCAAGAGTAAGTCAGCAAAATTGGAGTCAGGCAAATCACGATTGCTGAATACTGAGTACCACAGTCCTGTTCGTATACGTTCATTATCAAGTTAATGTTACATCATCAAAACTGACGCTCCAATGCAGTGCTGGGTGGGGTTGTTGGATTGTCGGAGGTGTTGTCCTTCAGATGAGATGAGGTCCCATCTGCCTGTCCATGTGGATCTTAAAGATCCCGTGGCGCTATTGGAAAAAAAGGAAGGGAGTTCCTCTCTCCTGGTGTCCTGGCCAACAAATCCCCCAAATAAATTTGGTCGCTCATTCCATGGCTGTTTACAGGACCTGCTGTGCGAAATTGGCTGCCGCGTTTCAGCCATAAAGTACACAGTCAATCCACTTTACAGTGTCTTCTGTGAAGCGCTTTGGGACGTCCTCCCGACGTGAAAAGCGCTATATCAAATGCAAGGATTATTATTATGATATCCTGTGAAACGCTTTGAGACGTCTCAACGACATGATAAGGCACTGTATCAAATGCAAGTATTATTATAGAAGGACCCAGGCTAGTCAGCCTGTCGAAGGTAAGGAATTGTAACCTGCCGTGTTGTCTAATTTGCCCTCTCCTCTTCCTCAGCAATCGGTGGCAGAAAACAAGAAACGGAAAGAGATGGAAGAGAAAATCCAGAGAGCCAAACTCGCCAGAGAAAAGGCAGAGAAGGATAGGCTGGCAAAACAACAGAAGAACCAGCTGATTGACATGAGCGAAGGTCAGAAATTCTTCCCCCTTTATTTGCTGAAACATTTTGGTGTGTTGGGATTTCAATTAGGGCATTATGACAGAATCCTACAGCACAGAAGGAGGCCATTCAGCCCATCGTGCCTGTGCCAGCTCTTTGAAAGAGCTACCCAATTCGTCTCACTCCCCCGCTCTTATCCCATAGCTTTGCGATTTTTTTATTTTCAAGTACCTATCCAATTCCCTTTCGAAAGTTATTATTGAATCTGCTTCCACCATCCTATCAGGCAGTGCGTTCCAAATCTCGGCTGCTCGCTGGGTAAAAAATATTATTCTCATCTCACCTCTGGTTCTTTTGCCAATTATCTCAAATCTGTGACCTCTGGTTACCGACCCACCCGCCAGTGGAAACAGTTTCTCCTTATTTACTCTATCAGAACCCCTCATAATTTTGAACACCTCAATTAAATCTCCTCTTAACCTTCTCTGCTCAAAGGACAACAATTTAGTCTCTCCACATAACTGAAGTCCCTCATCCCTGGTATTAGAAATCAAAATTTAGACTACTTTTGATATGAGCCTCAGATGATCAGACATGCGTAGAACATGGGAAGCGTTTTAAAATGATGACCGCTATTTTTTTAAAATGCCTGTGCATTGTATTGCTTGCTTTTTTATATATAAAAAATATAGCCAGAGGAAGTGTATAGAAAATTATCTCTTGTTATCGCAAAGCAATTATTTTGGACAGGAGGAGGTTTTTTTGATGTTTTTTTTTCTGTACATGTCACTTTCAGGCCGTAGTGGTGTCGTGTGATTAATGTTGTGCCCATACATTGTGGGAACCAGAAATTGCATCGCGTTACAGCAGAGGGTGCTCGACAGACGCTGAGATTGAAGCAGTGAAGGGGGAGGGGGGAGGAAATATACTGCATAATGTCAGATCCATGCCACAGCAGCCTTGAAACTGGGAGTGTTTAGTTTTGTCGTTGGTTTCAAACGAGGGGAAAAAATTCTCCATTTTCCCTGTCTTTCCTGCCTGGTATTATCTATAATAATCCCTTAAAAAAAACAATTACACAATCACGATTTGGTCACTCAATCCACGACTGTTTGTGAGACACTGCCATGCACAATTGGCTGTACAATAATACACATGTAAATAAATATTCAGAGTGGGTCAGGCTCTGCTTTTAGTTGTGTGTCTGGTGGCTTGCTGGGTAGGTCTGCTACATCTGCTCAGGATGTGTGGGGGGAGAGAGAGAGGGTGGGGAGTGTAAGAGAGGGAGAGAGAGAGAGAGAGGTGTTATATATAATTGGACCTTGTTTTTGCAAACCCAGTACAAAATGGAAGGAAAGCTGACAGTTTACGAGCTCGCTCTGTGATTAGCAGAACTGTTTTTTGCTGCTGAGAGCTGAACATCTGACGCAGGCTGTGTCCACAGGCACCGGGGAGGAGGGGGTGTCGGCAAAAACCTGGCGGTGGGAGGTGGGAGGTGGCTGGAGGGGAATTAACTCAGGTCAAAGAGAGAGAGACGTCTAAAAACTGCAGATTTTTATTATGCTGACAGACAGGCTGTGCTGACTAAACTCTTCTTACCGGTGGCACAGTCTCTATGGTAACCTAGATTTTTTTTTAGGATTTAATCAGCCTGCGTTTATTGGAAGCTGCAGTTTAGTGGCGGTGTGTGGGGGGGTGGTGGTGGGGGGGGGCAGCATTTCCCTTAAACGTTATTTTATTTTCGGGTTTAGAATCTGCAGCTGCTCACTGCTCAATCCTCTGTAAGGAGCTTTGTGATGTGTGGTTACCTGTCTTGTCTATTCCTGAGGATGGCAGCAACACTACAGATTTTTTTTTGTCTGCCGCATGGCTGAGGCTCGTGATTTCATCCGACTGTACAGTACGGTGGGGAGAGGTGGGGTTGGAGATCACTTAAAGTGACGCATGAATTCTGCAGTCAGACTCGGTCACCGACCTCCTCTTTGTTTCACGCCCCGGTGTCTGTGTATGTTCGTTCCAGCATTAACAAAAACAGGTTTCCGAGCTCCCAGCTCTGAATCTTTCACGCTTCAGAGATGAAAGTTGCCTCTTTTTATTTCTAAGCTGTGTTCTTGTTCATGTCACAGCCCTTTTGCCCCTCATTCCCCTGATAGCGTGTTCCTCTACCCCAATCTCTTCTATGGCCCCTCTTCCCCACCCCCCCCACTCCCTCCCCACACATCACCTACCCATCGCTTATATCATCCCTTCACTGTTCTATAGATTGCTCTCTTGATCTCCTCCCTCCCCAATCACACGCACCTCTCCTCTCCCTGCCTTCTGTACATTTCCTAGCACAAAAGAGTGTGGGCAAGTAGATGTTTGAGACATGGGACAATTTTCTTCTGTCGGGGTGGTTTTCTCTCTCCGCCTGTCCCCCTAACTGGCCCCCTCCCCGGTCCAAATTTCTGGTCAGGTAATCCACCTCAGTTGATAACCTCTCCTACATATTAATCCTAGCTTCATAACATGATCATTCCACTCCAATGTAGCATCGCATCAGCTTGTAATCTGGCTGGATTTCCATTGCAGAGCACCGCACACAGTCGGCACTGTAAGATCAAAGTGCATTTTTTTTCTATTTTTAACAAAAGCCTTTATTCTATTAGGCCTTTTTTTTCGCTAAGTGGGTTGCATGTGTGACGTCGACGGAATTTTAAGGGGGAAAAAATTCTCTTTTAATCTCTCACTGTGACCAGGACCCAATAATGAATTCTGTCATTAGAAAAAACGATTTACGGTTGAGGTAATGCCAAGCAGTTGGTACATGAAACGCTGATGAATGAACAAGATTAGTTTAAAGCTGAATTTCTGTGGCTGCAGAAACGTCCAGTTGATTAAGTCCTGGGCTATATTGCAGAGTCTGACCATCGGGGTGGGGGGTGGGGTAGAATGGTAGAATCCTACAAAGGGCCACAGCTGCCCACAGGCTCCGCAGACTCTACCATTGGTTTCAGGGAGGGATGTTCTTTATTAAACAGACTGCAAATCACATGGAAACACATGCTTCTGTTGCCATTTTACATTTAAAAGACAGGTTTTAATAATCGAGGCAGTGCATATGTTTTAAATATATTTTTTAAACAATCTTATCAAAATTAGATTTCAAACGACCAATTCTGATGGATTAGAATCCGATTGCTTTCCAGGCTTCTCATTAACTCTTTTAGGCTCAAATGCAGCACTGCAACTATGCAGGATGGTAATTATGCAATTGACTCAGTCACTGTAGTACAGTAAATAATGTTCCTTATACCTTTTCTCATGTAGCATTACACTGCTCCTTGTAAAGACAACAGAAATGTTCTTTTACAAATATTTGACAGGGAATATCTGAATATGTTTGGTGGAATAATTTTGTCTCATTTCATACATTGAGCCCTGAAATCCGTGACATGATATAAATTTATGATTTCATAGTGGGATCCATTCAATGCCCAGAAAGGCAATCGATATTCTGTTGGAAAGCAAAGGGATAGCGCGTGTGTGCGTGTGGGGAAGGTTTGCAGCTCAAATCACTGGAACATTTAACTATTTAATCCTTATTCATTCATCCTCGTGCACGAATGAGATCCTGTGCAGTTTTAATGTTGAATTAGGCCGATTTAATCGAGCGCAGAACATTTCATTTCTGGCTGTATTCTGTGTGATCTGGGGAAAGTAATCTGCCTGCACGTATATCATGGTAACGTGACTGTTTTTGAGCTCTCTCCAGTGCATGTATCGTTAGTATCCGTTGTCCTACTGACCCTGACCAGTCACAATCTATCTCCCACTGCAGTTCTTGACACACAAAGCTGTTTGGGCTGTGTCCGCTGGGCTCAGTGTGAGCCTATAATACGACAGTGACCGCCAAATGCACTTCACACACCAGCGAGTGTGTGAGGCGGCACTCCTCATCAATCACATCTTTGTATAAATGCTCAGCGGTTCTCATCTCAATAAGTGGATGCAGAAAAAAATGAGTTCAGTGGCTTTAATTGCAGGTATTCACGTTATAAAGACCACCAAAAATATACCCACAAAATATTTCGCCCACAAAAAAGTCGACAGTCAATCCACTTTACATTATATTGTGTGAAGCGCTTTGAGACATCTCGAAGACGTGATAAGGCGCTGTGTCAATTGCGAGGATTATTATAATTTTTATCATTATAAGTAAAATGGGAAGACGGTGAAGTTTATTACATGATATTGTTTTATATTAAAGCGTCTATAAAACTGGTATTTTCAGATCATCTTTTATGTATTGTGTTTTCCTTCCAAGACGTTTAGACTTTATGATATTAATGCCCATTGACAAAGCAGTCAGAGGAACATACTTTATGTTCACATTCTTAATTTATTCCAATTGCTTTCCTCCCAATCTGTTTGCCTTGGACAAGTGCCACCTTATAGCATTAACCTACACAGTGTTGCTATTTGCAGTGTTCCTTTGTTAAACTAATACATGCGTATTGATCTTTCTTTGTCCTCCAACGCTCTCCCCTTGCCCTTCTCCGTGAGTGATGGCGGGAGTGAAATTCAGTAACCTTACCCATGTGTGCGTGTGTATGTGTGTATTGAGGATCAACATGTCATTCAAGTAACAGTGATCAGTCCTTAGACTCAGACTGTCCACATAGATGCACTTAAATCTGGGAAACTGAAAAGCGATTATTAAAGCAATCCTTGACTTGTTTCATGCCTCACCGACCAGCTTCCCTGACTAACAACGTATCCTGAAATCACTTGCGTCTCCTTAACTTTGGCCGGGTGCAATTCAGTAGAATTCGCATAAGCCTGATCTGCATAAATCATGTAACTTCCTAAGTCATACATCTGCTCAAGTCCCATTCAAGAGTTTATACTCTATGCACGTTTGACATAACTCATACTTTGCATAAGTCATATCAAATGTATGGTCCCAACTGATACAGATTAGATAGTTTTCTTTTAGGAAATAACATTATGGGATATTGTACATAGGGAGTTTGGGACATATGTGCATG